ATTTGTTTAATTTACTAATGTTTGTATTTTGAGAACGATTTCCGAAGTGAAAATTGAAACGTCAATAAACGTACTTTAACCTTTAATTGTGGCTTATTCCCATTTAAATAGTAAATGCTTTAAAATGCCACAAGAAAATAGATTCAGAACAATATTAAAAAACATTTAAAGTCCTTATTAAGTTATCGCTGCAAATCCGTGTAGACTGAGAACACATGCTAAATGAAGAAAGCTTTTATAACAATATTGTCCAGGAAAATAAATCGCAACGACTAAGGCAGATCGGACTCATGCACTATAGGTCATTTCCAGAGGCAATGTGCTAATTGTACGTAAAATAAATGTTTTTAGGGTAGATCTTTTACAGCAGGTGTGATTCAAATACATCTAAAGCTAAAAACTGTCGATTTTTGTATGAAAGAAGACAATTTAATTTGTTATGCAAATTTAATGTAATCCACAAGGAAAATGAAATTAGTTAACTGTATACCATGAATCACAAAAGTTTAACTTAAAAATCCTTTATAAAAGGTATATAATTAAAAAGACCCTTTCGAGCTACATCACATCTACCACATACACATACTATCACATAACGTTTTCTGACCGAAAATCCAGTCCAACATCAGTGAATTATTACCAGGTATACATGAGTCAAGCACCAAAATTCTGGGTAAGTAGTTCAAAAGATGTGATGTTAAAGTATATAACAGGTACCCTACATAGCAGCGTAAGACTCCCGATAAAAGTTGTTGCTGGCTCTCAGACCATGTCTCAATGCATTCTAGATGACATCTCAGTTGCCATTGTCTGATAGATTTCCTTCGAATCATCCAATTTTCATGGTTTGTTTTAATTTTTTTTCCACAACTAATTTTTTCCGTTTAATACATATTTGCAATAAAAATTTTTGTTTGTCAAAATGTAGTATATCACTGATTTGTATCCGCATGATAAAAGTATACTTTTGTAGATCTAGGTTACTGAAATATGGTATTATTTTATTGTGTATTCATTTTGTGCGTAGACATTTTTAAGGGTTCTCCGTTTTTATGTTGTATACTTTTACAGATTTACTTCATACCTGGTGCTAGGTCGTTGCTAAATCTTGTATTTATTTATTATTTATTTTAGGGTATTCTGTGACCTATAACCTTTTTACCTCATTTGAATGGCGCAAATGTCTGCATGTGTTTTATTAATTCTGTTATCAGTTCCTTGCCCTTGTTGTCAAGTACTGTAATATTAAAGATCGCTATCATTTATTTACTTATGTTTCCTTTTACTTCCGAATATTTCTTCGTACGCCATATTTAATGCTGGTAAATTACGTTAAAACAAATTACTATCTTAATATTTACTTGTTTTTTTCTAATATATCTTGCAAATGTGTTGATCTGACCAGTTTTTCTTTGATTTGAGTCATCGTACAAATGGGCTGGTATTCTAAAAGTGAATTTTGCGAATCTAGACTTGGTTTCTTTCGTTCTCTAGGTACTTATCTTCGAATATTAGGTGAAATTTGTAGCTACGAATGGTAGAGCTTATGTATGGATGCAAGTCTTAATGTAACAAATATCAGCTGATGATTTTGCTGACTAACTTATAACTAAGTCTATGTGTCAACTATGTATTAGAGTGCAAACCAATTAGTATTGCATAGGGTGCAATCATCTACGTTTTAAGGGTGGAAGGATGTGCTTCCCCTTTTTAGCTGATAAGCTTGCGGTGAATATTATTGCTGGTCCTCAATTTACCCTTTAGTTTTAAACAATCATCTGTGAATGGCCACGTGTGATACAAACTATTTTCAAGGAATTTATAGGAAGTCTACAGTTCAACGATTTTATGACATTATTGGATGTTCAGTTTTGTGAAAGCGTCTACGTTAGGGAAATTGAAAGAACACTCAGAAGTTTCTCAGGGGTTTTGGCTGAAAATTGATTAATAGTTTATTTTTGTTATGAAATAATAGGTGTATCGTCTATATAATAGACGACCCGTATGGGTTGACCGTTCTTCATCTGCTATTCTTACCATTAAGTGATACGAACAATATTCTGTTATGTAGGCATATGCAGATAATATAAGTGCGTTTGTTATCTAAGGGGATATCATATAGTTTTTGGAGAAATATCCTGTAACTTGAGGTATTGTAAGTGGCATTTAGATTTAAAAATACCACCCCCGATACACAATATTTTTCGTGCTTGTCTTTGCTGTGTTGGGTAAGATTTAGTATTTGTCATGTACATGATCTTCCCTATCTATAGCCACTTTCGTCTTTTAACTTGAATTTTTCTTCTAACATCGGTAAAATCGTACTAACAATCTTGTGCAAAAGTATTTTGAATAGCTGACAAAATAAAGATATTGGCCGATAGTTTTTGTGGTCGTTCCAGTTTTTGCCAGGATTAAGCAAGGTACAACCCAGCAAACAGACTTGAGCCCAGTTACGTGATGATTACGTTAAATTTACGACGAATTTCAACGAATACGTAACTCGGTGATTTAAGACGAAAAAAAAACGTATTTCAGTGCCAAATCATTCACCTATATATTACTGCTTCTTTTATACATGTTTGACATTAGAATAAATATAAAATCTTAATGCAAAATATAGTACATGTTTTTTATAATAGTTGTGAATGTCGGTTACATTGCAAAGCTACGTTTATTTCACGTAAAAATCACGAAAGCGAAATAACTTCCTTCAGTTAAATTTTGAGGAATATTTTGAAAAACAAAACTTTAGAACCGTGTTGGTTAGATACGTATTGCTTGAATTTTCCTCACTGTGTTTTATGGACGTCGAAAAATTAGGTGTATTTCACGTAAAAGTTACGTAAATAATACCGATATTAACAAAAAGTTTTTGATCTCGCTTTTAAAAACATTTAGCCTACCTATTTCAATCCTACTACTACTTAGAAGCTATTTTTTTATTTAAAAATATGACAGGACCTAATATAATTTATGTTGAGCCTTTGAGTCTAATTTTCAAATCGCGCGCGGTGATGACGTACTTCCAAGCCTTCCCTCCTAGTCCTAACGAAGAAGAATGATTATAACAGAGACAACAGATGACTTGTCTCTGATTATAACCTCTAAAATCAGCTTTTCTCAAAACGTGAAACGAAATTTTCCCTCGTTTTATTTTAGGCTTATATATGTAAGTACATAGTTATATGAGACGATTTTCACATTTGGTCCCATTGAAGTTAGCTTCAAATGGGTTTGACAGAATGAAATATTGGTGTTTGGCAGTGTTGAAAATTATAATACACATGAAACATACGCAATTAAAAGCAATAAGATATTTAAAAACTAATATGTAACAATTACGAAAAAAAGAAAAAGTAAATAGTTTTAAAATAGTTTTTAACAGTAAATAGTAAAATGTCAGTATAAATAATAAAATTTAAAAGGCATTTGTTGCAATCTGGCAGCTGGTGGTTTGAGGGTTCTGACTCTATTGCCAAATCTATCCGCTAACATATCAAAGGGCAATTGCCAAAAAAATTTTCTGATAATTTATTACAACTAATATCAAATAAAACAAATATTACTTCATTAATATTTTATATAAGGTATAAAATTGCAGAATCCATAAAATAATATGATAAAAATGTACCTTTTAAAAGCTTTGTCTCTTTGTATTTGAAGCATATAACATATACATTATAATAACTTGGCAACACTGCCAACGCAATATTTCGTTCTGTGAAACTTAATTGACAGCTAATTTGAGGCTAACTTCAATGGGACCAAATGTGAAAATCGTCCGTTATATGTCTTTCGTATTAATAGAGTTTGATGAGAAAGAGTGAGGTTCTGTTGCTGTGGTGCACCAGAACTGGCTCACTCCAAGAAAAAAGGAAGTATATTGGCCTCCTTATAAAACTCAAGCGCTTTACGATAAAGCAGTAAAGAAAGGGGATAGTTGCACAGAAGATTGGCAGTTATTTACGGTGAAACGTATTTTTAGATACTATGGTATGTATACAAGTATAAGGCAAATCTATAGTCTATAGAATAAGTGCCGAGAATTTGACATAAACGTCATGTCAAATTTGTGTCTGCGGTATTGCCATGTCCTTATTATGTGTATGTTTTATGCCTCAAATATGCTTTGAAACAGTACATTTTTATTATATTATTTTATGAAATCGGGTATTTTTTAAAATTTTTTGAATTTATATGAAACACGAACGAATGAATATTTGTTTCTTTTGATATTAGTTGCAGTTGGTTATTAGAAAAAAAATTATAATTTGCCTTTGGTAGATTAGTAAAAAAACTTGGCAATACTGTCAAAATTTTGAAAACAGTAGTTGCCATATTGCAACAGATGTTTAGCAGCTTTCAATTTTATGATTTTTATGACTATTTTCTTATAATTTTGGGGTGAAATGGTACCTGAATATCGTTTTGTTAATGTATTAGCTAGTTACTGGAGATTGTTCAGATCGATATTTTTTCAAATTTACGTTGCAGAGATTAAATTATCATTATTGACAATTTAATCCTTAAAATGTGAATAACAAAGTAAAAATATATCGGTAAAGATGTTTAATTAACTTTAATAGCTTAAGAATTTAAAAGCTTAAAAAATTAAAGTTAATTTAAATTATAATAAATTAAATTTAAATTAATTAAACTTCTTTCAAAAACTTAAAAAGAATGTTGAATATTAATTAATATTATATCGCATGCTCTTTCAGGATTTATTTGTGATATGGCAACACTGCCAAATACAGATCTGTCACTAATCTTCTGTCAGTTCCTCGTAGCGTTGGGCATAATCGCATGATTTTAAAAATCGGATTCTCTGTATCCGAATGATATACATAATCGGATTAACATTCGAATGATGATCATTCGATCGCTCGGCGGTTCCGAGCTGGTGACGGTGGTGATAAGCATACGAATGATCATTTTAATGCGAATTACGGTTACGATTTAGTTTTGTTGTAACTGTTGTGACGAATACAATTTAGAGATTTGTTAGGCGCTGTTTTTACGTTGTTAGATTATACAAGAATAAAATTATATACATTATGCGACCTGGTGCGAAAAAATCTGTTGTGTGGGAATATTTTATTAAAAATGAAAATCAAACAGGGACATGTAAATTATGTAAAAAAATTATAAAATGTTTTGGAGGTACCACTAATCTAAGACAGCATTTATTAAGGATTCATCCTACCCAAATGTTAGAAAATGAACCACCGGCGAACACAGAAATAAATCAAAATGTAGAAAATATAATGCAACCAGAAGTAGAAAATACAAACAAGTTGGCAGTTCCAGGAACTTCAGGTACAAATTTAAAAAGAGCCAACGAAGGAATGAGTAAGGACACGAGACCTCAAAAACAATTAAAACTGTTCGGTGTTAAAAAGGTACATGAACTGTCTGAATCAGACTTAAACAAACTGGATGTGAAACTGTTAAAACTAATAACTCATGATTATCAGCCGTTGTCTATTGTGGAAGACAAAGGTTTTATAGAATATTCGCGAGCGTTACAACCTTTGTATAAATTACCAAGTAGAAAAAAACTAACCTATGAAATTTTACCCAAATATTATACGGAGTCGGCTTCAACACTGAAAATAACTTTATCTAAAGTTGAAAATATTGCTGTAACGACGGATATTTGGACATCAGACAGCAACGTAGCATATATTACAGTGACGGCCCATTTCACACACGAGAGTAATTTATGTGCACGTGTTTTATGTACAAAAGGTATGTCTGGCTCTCACACAAGTGAAAAAATTGCGGATGAATTAACTTCAATTTTTAATGACTGGAATATCGGTAATAAAATCATTACTGTGGTGTCGGATAACGGAGCAAACATTAAAAAGGCAATTACACACAATTTGCAAAAACACCACCATCCCTGTGTTGCACACACGCTTAATTTAAGTGTTAGTGAAGCAATTTTAAAAAATGATAGTTTAAGTAGTGTGTTAACAAAATGTAGGGCTCTTGTTGGATATTTTAAACATAGTGTTGTAGCAAGTGATAGGTTAAAAACCATTCAAATGCAGATGGGTCTTACAATACTTAAAGTTAAGCAAGATGTTTCTACAAGGTGGAATTCTTGTTACATAATGCTGCAAAGATTGATAAATATTAAAGATTCTTTGAGCATTGTTGTAACCGATTTGCCTAAATCTCCACAGTTTCTGAACGCAGAAGAGTGGAAAATAATTGTTGATTGTGTTAAAGTGTTGAAGCCTGCTAATGATATTACTACCATTGTATCTAGTGAAAGGTACCCTACAATGTCGTTGATCGTACCTTTAATTCGAGGGTTACAGTATGCCCTAGTTAATATACATACTGAAACCGAGGTAGGTCAGACCTTAAAAACTACATTATTAGATGTTGTATCAAGAAGATTGGGTCATTTAGAAAAAAATAAAATAGTTGCGAAGGCGACGTTTTTAGATCCAAGGTTTAAGAAAGTTGTATTTGGCTCTGAAGAAAATTCAACTAATGCTCAAACATGGGTCACCGAGGAATTAAATCAGCGAATTGCTGAACGTAAGGCAGTTTCAGATCAGGAAGTATCTCCTCAGCCGCAACACTCTTCCGATGTCGAAGAAATATCAATTTGGACCCAGTTTGATAAAAAAATGGCAGAAAAAAAAATATGTTCTACGCCTACAAGTATTGGTATTCTGATGATCAGACAATATTTGGAGCTTCCAGCGGTAGATAGAAAAAATAATCCACTCAACTTTTGGGTTAAACATAAAGAAGTATTACCTGAGTTGTATGACCTTGCAATTAAATATTTGTGCGTACCTGCTACATCGGTACCATCCGAGAGAGTTTTCTCAAAAACTGGGCAAATCACTAATTTAAGAAGAAATAGACTTGCACCAAAGAACCTAGACCAAATTATATTTTTAAATTCCTGTGAGCTTTAATTTATTTTTTTTATATTATATAGTAACATGAAATAATTTTTATTTACGTTTTATGGATAATATTGTTGTTTTGCCTTTAATATATTTTCATCTCTATTATTCTTTTTTATTTATTAATTGTAACCTATACTTGCTCGCATTCTTTTTATAGCTTCCACTATCATGAAGGTTATACCAATGTTTATTTCCTTCGCCCCAAACACCTAGTGATACCATATACCATTGTTTAGATATGCCCATTCCCACACGATTTCGAGGTTTCGAGTTTCAACACAGGTTAGAATTCGAATATTTGTCTGTTGGCGGTATCTTATCTAACATTGATTCTTAATCTGAATGAAGTGAAATAAATCCGAATACCCAAAGTTGTACATTTATACAGAAAACCGATTATCATTCGAATTCCGATTCAATAACCGAATGACCAGGTTATTTCAAATAATCGGATTACCGATTATTTTTCATTCGAATGCGCCCATCACTAGTTCCTCGGCACTTGTTCCAAAGAATATAGACGCTTATAGAAGAATTTTTCACTTCCCGTTTTGCAAGTTGAGAAAGGTTGAACCGAGTTGATCGCACGTTACAAAAAAGAAGTGAGGTGGATCGAGATTTCACTAGGGAGCGGTCATGTCAGCGCTGTTATTGCTTCTAAAATATGAAAGAGTGGGGCAACAAATGCAACTTAGATATTTTTATGAGATGCCGCGTGGTCGTAGAAGAGGATTAAATTTTTGCATTTTATAAAAATTTTTAAAGAAAAGAATATATTTTATTATTATTATTATTTATTATTATTTTAACTTTTAATAAATTAATCTTTTTAAAAAAATATGACTCAAATTTTTAATTCAAATATATACAAAAGTATAAATAATATAATTAAAACTCTCTTCTTATAAACTATAAATAAAATTAATTAAGCGTCAATCACCGGGAGAGAAAGCTCAAAAAATTGTAAGGTGTTTCGATCAAAAAACAATTCCTGATCTTGTTAGTAGGTACGCTAGAATTGCTTTTTAACACATACACCAAAAAATTATTTTTTACAATTTGAAAATTCGAAATTGTGAAGTATAATTTCGGATTTTTAAATTAAAAAATAAGTAAGTCTCAAATAACTAATCACTAGAGCTCAACAAAGGAAGATAAGAAAATGGCAAAAATTGCAGCTGGGGCATAGACATCGAGAAATAAGACAAAAGAGGGAATGTAAAGGTAGTGGGGGTAAACATATTGATAGACAGGAAGTGCGATCTTTAGAGGCCACTTTAAACAAGGAAAGAGAGTCTCTCTCTTTGTTTGACATCAAATTTAGTTGGGTTATGTTATTGTTTGTCCCAAATTTCACATGAAATCTTATTTATATTGAAGTTTTTTAACAATTGTGTCGTATTTTAGACTATTACCGTTCATAATTAATTAAAACTTTATAGTCTAAGACATTCTGAAAAATATTATATAGCTACTGTTAATAAGTGTCGAAAAATTTAAATTTGGCGCATTCGCATTTCCGGATATGTCCGCCATCAGAGGCCACTTTTTTGGTCTCCTTTTCATAACGATTAGATTCCCTCTTTTGTCTTATTGCTCGATGGGCATAGACCATAGCAAATCCTTAAACATCCTGTCTAGCTTACCCGTAAAAAGGGGTTTTTACCCATATATTTTGGTGGCTACTAACATGTACAATCGTTTGCACTGGTGATGGATTGTTTAATCCGAAAACGTTTTGCAATGTGTTTGTGATAGCCCGTTTGAGGCATTTTTATATACCTTTTATAAAGGATTTTAAACAAAATTTTTTTGTGATATATGGTATACAGCCAACTACAGGAACTTAGTTTCCTCGTGGAATTTCAAAAAATTAAATCCAAAAATATACCATGCAATACCAAAATTAAGAATTTACCATGCAGTCGTAAGACCTATAATAACATACATATGTACATGAAACATGGACGACGTAAAAACAAAATAACAGCCGATTGAACGTCGCAGAAAGCCAGATAAAGTAAAAACATAAATAACATCTTGTACGTATCTACGCAATACCTTGTAAAAATAATATTGTACATTTTTGAGAACGAACTCATATTTGAACATCGAAACGCCCAATAAAATATGTATTAATAAATATTGTGTCATATTTCTTGTATTCTTCCAAAAAAATAAAAAAAAAATAAAGTTGGACATATTGAGATGGATTACTGAATACTATAGAGTACAGGTAGTTGGAGCTACCGAATATTTTAATACAATCAGACTTGGTGTGAACATTTTGGTTAAAAAAATAAATTTGATTTTTATACTACACATGTAGTTGACGTTTCTATCTCCAAATTCTTTTTTTTAGTTCTTTTCTAGACGCGTGTTAAACAAATTTTGTTTATATTGCAATTTTTTTCTTTTTGTAGATTTAATAGTGATATCAGTTTGATACATAGACATACAATACAAATAGACTAACTGTTGCAATACAGATCCGTTCCCCCAGTGCAACAGAGAAAACTGACGAAAGTCCCTGCATCTCTTTCTAATTTGTCAGGTTTATCGAACGCGTGACCTATGACCAATGAGAAGGTCACGTGGTCAATAACCCCGTCCCATTAGAAAAATATGCAGGGATTGCTTTTCTTCAGTTTTCTCTGTCGTATTGCGGAAACGCGACTGTATGGCAGCTGTCAGTCTATTTGTATTATATTATGTCTATGGTTTGCTACATGCATTTTCCCTTTTATCTTTTATGCGACAACGTTATCAGCGATATCTAAATTGCTCCAATCTTTTAAAATTATATGGTTCTATTGTTAAATTTATGCTCTAGATCTAACCATCAGCATAACTAGGAGCTGTTTTGTACCTTGGGCCGTTATTGGATTTCATCGTAAATAGGTGCTATTTCTATCTTATTAAGCTGTGCTTATTTTTGACATTTGATAGAATCTATATTTTATTCTACTGTTTATTAACACAGATTTTTTTGGCGCCCATTTCCATCTTAAGTTTTTTGTTTCCCGTATCATTATTACAACAATTTTTCGGGATACCGACGTAGGAAACCCGTTGCTATGTATTTGCATGTTTCGATGTCCAACAGTAGAAAATTTGTCTCGTTGTAAAGTCAATATTATTTTATTAGGAAATATGATATTGTCTAATAATAATAAAGTTGTTTTGCTTCGCTTTCTCAGACTGCTACCGTCGTGCTCTCTGGTATTTGATATTTCGCCGGTCAAGCAACAATTTCTATATGCATTAACTTAATGCTGATATCCTGCTTCCCCAACCCAGGTAGCAGTTCCGAAACCAATAAAACTGCTACACTCATGCTTTCTATTAGCCAGCCCAGGATTATAGCTACGCATTGTATGCGTAGCATCGTACTGATGTTAGTGCTGCCCCTTATAAGTGAATGGAATATGAAAGGAAAGTTTTGGCAATTTAATAAGATCTTGTGTGTTAGAATATAACTTTTTCAAGAAAGTAAAGGGATATCAAACCGCTATTCGAATTTAATCAATAGCTAAAATATTAAAATGCTATAGAATAATGCTTTATTAGCATTAATAAGTTTATAATAGACACTTACTTAAGTTTGAAAATAATTAGAGCAAGTAATATAAATTATCACCGTGCTTATTATACATAAAAATAAAATAAAATTATTATAATGTTAACAATTTATATTATAACATATTTAAATACATTAGCCAAATATTCCTGAAATTCCTCGATAACTAAACTGGTGGATATTTAAATAAATTTTAAGTTCCCAAAATGTACCTGCTATAAAATTTAAAAATCTACGACTAATACAATTATTGACAACATCGCAGGGGCTTAGTTGTGTACGCTAAAAACTATATACGGATCCCAAAAATATTTTATCCAGTTACGGAGTCCACTTGATCCTACATGTTGGTCGGAGTTTACATAATGCGCTACTTAGATAATAATATACACGGTGTATATTCTACTGGAGTTAGTATAATACCGTTTTAGGACGGAGCCTACATTAACCGCTAGAAGTATATATATATATATATATATATATATATATATATATATATATAATATATATATATATATATATATATATATACATATATAGTATTGCATAAAATAAATCTAAAACTAGGAATGTAATTGTTACGGTTCTGTAACCATAAAATCTCGTAAATAAAATATAATATTAAATAAAAAAAATAAACCACACCGCTGTTAAAAATGTAGATTTATTTCTGTTGTCATATCAACGGCGGTCCTTTTTTAAATTGTAAAAAAATACTGTATTGCTTACGATATGAATTGAAGTGAGAGGGCAATGTCTGGCCCACATATGTATAACTATTTTTTGTAGCGAGTGCGGAAATTTGGATTAGTTCATCCAAGGTTATTAGGGGAGGATGCCTGGGCCCAGAAAAACATTAGACAAGAGGATTCCATATACAACTTTCGGAGTGATATGTTGTCAGGTTGAAACAGTGAAAAAATGTAATGCCGCGTTTACGTTAGTTAAAAGTGCATTTAATAATCGTTAACATCTACGTCCATGTTAACATCAGTGTTATTGTAACGAACTTAGTATGCAGGTTATGTGTAAGAAGCTAACGTACCGGGCTTCTTTATTGAAAATAAAATGGTAGATGGTGTTGCAACAACTCGTGGAAAAGCAAGGTAAAATTTACGCAATATATACGTCAGCATAGAGCATAGCTGAAATCTAGGACAATGAATGATTCGACACCTAATAGGAGTCCGAAGAACACCCAAAGTAGACTATTGTGCTTTTTTTTTCTTTAAAAAACCTAGGTTTCGGTAACGCGCTAAGGCCTTTAAGTTAACAAAAAAAACTTACGATAGGACTGAACAAGTTCCCATTAATCCGCAGTCTGTAGTAGTTTTATTCAATATTTCTAACTAATTTTTTAACTTTCTTTTAATCTTTTTAATTTTCTAATTAATTTTTAAAAAGATTTTACTAATTTCTAGATTGC